ACATAAGGAGAATTCACTGCATACAATCCCAACGATTTTGCTTATTGAACATTTTTTGATAGCACAGTTATATACATCAACCTTTAAAGATATATAGACATTTTTACTTATGCTATCAGAAAATTTACTAGACAATGGCTGTATTTAAATGAAAGTATTTCCCATTTATCTCCTATCCTGTTAAAAGATGCTACTGACATGCAAAATATCTTCCAACACCATTGTTTTACCGAGAATAGATTTGATGTAATTCCTTATATAATTAGATGAGAGCCAGTGGTACATTTAGGCCACATAAATGGCTTAATTAGGATCAACTTGGCTTGATTGATTATAGCATGAAACAACACGCAGATGTATTTTATTACAACCTCCTTAAAATACGAATTAATTTAGTTTAATGTGGCAGATTTGGGAGTGCACAAGTGAACTTTGTGACACAAGTTGTAAGACAATATTAAAAGTATCACTGCAAAACAAACAAATTTAAAAAAAAACATACTCACTCAAAAACCAAAGGCAAACATTCTTCTGTGTTAAGAATCCCCAAAAGAAATAAAACTAGTTACAAGAAAAGACAGCATCTCCTGCAATTCCAATTTCAGATCGTGCAATTTTTTTGCTTTTCTACTTCTGGAGCAGTTGCCATAATAGGGGTCAACAGCAGCAGTGAGTTGTTGTTAAAAAGCAGACCTCATCTCTAACCAAAATTGTCCAGCCACATCTTTGTCTAAAAGTAGAAATACTTCCCATATAGAAATACCTATAAAATGTGGCAGGACCAGCTTTTAAAACTTGCTTTATTTTAGAACTATGTTTTTTAATTTCCTACCGTAAAGCAGATTTTTATGTCCTTGAATCAGTGTAGGTTTTTCTCAAAATCCTTTATTTATCAATACTCATTCTGAAGGCCACATAACAGAAGTAGAATGTCCTGCAGCCTGTCTTTGCTCTGCATGATGAAAATAACTTTTTGCTATTATTCAATAACCCTCCACTTAGTCATGAATAAGGATCACACTTAGCTCTTTAAGGCTACTGCATTGCTCTGAAAACTCAGACATACCTCATTAGGATTCCAAAGTCCTTTTAAGATTTACCACTTCCTAAATATATTTATGTGTTTACACAGACAAATGTCTTTACACAGAGCATCTTACAAGGCATCTTGAGGACAAAAAATCTACACAATATCAGTAACTTGATTTCAAGATTAACACAATTGAAAAAAAGTGAAAATTCAGAGAGGTTACTGTTACACTGTTCTCTCAAATCACCGTTCTCCAGTTTGCTTCACAGAAATGTTTGAATTAAAATATAAATAATGAAAGTCCCTGTATAAAAACAATGTTAAGAATTAGAACTAGGAATGAATCCATTTTATCTGCAAGTTTTTACAAATAAGAGTGAGACATGGGAGCAAAACATAATTCATACAATTGTATGCAAGTTAAAGGGTTTTTTAGGCCAATATAAAATATTCAGCTGATTTCCATAAAAAAATTACTGTCAAGGAATATCTAGTTCATGGAGTGAAAGTTTTTAATTTATTGCAATTAATTCTGTACAACTTTTTATGGTTTGATTTTGCAATTTTTATTTAGTCTTTTTGATTACTGTTGCCAGATAGGCTTCAATAAATGAAATATTCATTTTGTGTACCCACAGTATCCTCGTTCTTGAATTATACATATAAACATATTAGTTAATTCATATTTTAAGATTGTAGTTCAATTAATACTTAAAAGCTGGCACTACCAACAAATGAAGAGCTCTGCCATTTTCTCCCCCCTGGGTATCCCTTCCTCAAAAGCATTAATTCATCAAATCATAGTTAGAGGCAGTGAAATCAATATTCAAGGATAACTGCAGGAAACTTTGTTTCAGGTTTCCCTTTTCAAGTTATCCTTCATCTTTCTGGTTTTTGGGCTTTATGGGAAGGAGCACATATTGTTATTTAAACCATGTAGATGGCTTCTTTACCTCCACATCTCCAGCTTGAAATACAGATATGACTTCTATAACCTGTCCTTCCTATGAATCTGTTTTCTTTTTCATTTATTTTATGATTTTTTAAATCTAATTATTTTATAGACCTTTTTCAGTTTATTATTGGGAAATGTCACCATAACATCATAAATCAGCAAGTAAAAAATTATAAGAGGCTCCGTTTTAGCATGCAGCAATGATAACAGAACATTATGACCCGGCTAACTAATTAATTTAAAGAAAATTAATCAAAAATTTCACGATAAATATGTCTTCACAAGTTCTCTACGTTCTGGCTCTCATTACTAGCAAATCATTCATGCTTCTTATAAAAATTCCTACCTAAATTATTCATAAAAAGTTTGACCAGAGATATCAAAGGAAAAACAAACTACATGAAAGATGCAATTACAGGCAAGATATAATTTAAGAACTAAACAGAGTGTATATACAACCATCTCTTCGGATTTTTTTTTCTCTAGAATGACAAAGGACAAGGAAAACGTATGCCACAGAGTAAAATAACTATTGCATTTACAGAAATCTGCAATAGAATTCTCAGTCATGTAATATGTTTAAGCCAGAAAAGCTGAACTTGATTCCAGAACTACCACGTCAAACACAAAGAACAACTCCTGCAAGACAATTAAGCTGACCCTTAATTCTTCACAGATGACAACAGGTCTTACTAATCTTCTGCTATCAGGCAAATATCAGCTTGCTCATTAAAATTCACTCGACTTCCCAAATTCCAAAAACAAGCTTAGCTTTTATACCTACTTAGGAGAGGACTGGACAAAGAAAATTCCAGAATTATATGTATTATCAGCTTATATAAGCCTCTTAATTCTTTGGAGAAGGTATTACAATCTAAATTGTTTCACTGAAGATAAAGTTCAGAAACTAAAAATTGTCAAGCAGCAGCAATTAAATTAAAAAGTAAAAAGACAGATGCATAAATTTAAACAATTTTGTCATGAAGCATATTTTACTAAGTTATTATCTATTCAGGTCTGCAAATTACATGAAAGCATTTCTCTTAGAGGATATATTTTCCTGAATTGTTGGCCTATTTTCCTAATTTACATTGAACACTTGCTAAAATTATTCACTTGTATGAATATTTTTGAAACATAATTTCTACAAAATTTTAAAACCCTACGCTACATAGGAGAAATTATTTCTTTATTAAAAATGAAAATTGATAAATGTCAATGCATATTAATACATTTATTTTGAAAATCTAGAAAATCCCATTATGATTTCAGAATTTGTAGGGAGAAAAACTATAAAAACACTACTATGTGCTCTGCCTTCAAACTCTTCATCCTGATCTAGAAACTAATTGAAAAGGAAAAAAAAAAAAGAACACAAACTGTAGGGACCTAAAATGAAGCACTATTTGCATTTTCATCAGCAAGAGCCTATATTGCAGGAAATCATCATCTATTTAAACAGATTTTCATGAAAGTATAAAATCTTTTGAAGCCACGTGTGCATGAGTGCACTGTTTTCCAGCTTACTGTGCTCAAAAGTTGCTCACAAAACCGCCTGCATCTAAATTCTGGAGTCACAGAGAGGAGTCTGCTGTGAGCCATGTCCAGACTGTCATTTCAATTACTAACTTCACATACACAATAAAACTTCATCTGGAGTTCTCAATAACTCTCGTCCATTTATAGTTGCTTCTATAAAACATCCAACCATTTCTAAGAAATATTTTTTGCAAAAAAAATCTCATTTAGAAAACCCACCAGAATTGTCAAAGCTAAGTTTTGTAGCATCTTGAAGCTCTGAAGAACAGATGCTATTGCAACGTGTAAACACACAAGTTTACATGCAATCTGTAAACTGGATTTTATAAATCTGATCAAGTTAATTTCAGACCTGTAAAACTTTAATAGTTACTTTAAGATTCCATATGCACTGGGTATGCAGTGCCTTAGTGAAAAGATGTTTGACTATCTATCACATGGAGAAAGATGCCATTTAAACAAACACTGTTTATTTTGACACAAACAAATCCACCTGGTCCTCCAAACATCAGTGCCCATTTACTTATTCTAGGCAAATTGTTCAGCGTGATATTAAAATGGATCAACTTGCTGATATACAAATAAAATTGATATTTAACATTCCCATTGTTTTTACAACATGAATTTTGGATCTGTTCAGCTCACATCAGGAATTAGTTCAACTGTTTCTTTATTTTGTTGAGGTGTGAATGACTATTGGATACCATTTCTTTTCTAGTTCTATTGCTCAATATTGGCAACAACCCTTATTTTTTAAGAATTTTATTAACAATAGCCTCTATTTAATACTCTCTTCCCATGAAAATTAGATTAATATCTAGCAGAGAACACAGCAGAAGCCTGGTTAAAAATTATGATTTAAATGTCAAATACAAAAATTTGCATTAAAAATCTATGCCAATGCAGAGCTGTCTTGTCAAGGAATTTTTTTTTTTCAACACAACGGGGCAAGTAAGGGCAAGTAAGATGCAAGAGATGCACAACTGCCGTCACGGTTCTCGCGCTCAGCACAGCATGGACGAAGCAGCAAGTGAATTCCATGGGGGTGTGGGGGACACATATTGAGAAAGTAAGAAAATTACAGCCTGAGAAATATTCCAGGCTGGAGCTTTTCAGCTCTGTTCCCAGCCGATAAGCTGGTCCAGCTCAAGGCTAGGGAGAATTTCTCCCAGGGTGATAATTTGGTCAAAATAAAAAGGAATTATAACAAAGATAGAACACCTGTTGTGGTGTGTGACCAGGCCCTGGGAATGGGGTGTCTTCTCTCTGAGCCAATCACCTCTTCTCTACTCTTGGAGTTGCAGTCATGCTATAAAACCAAGTGTATTTCTAAATAAACTTGTCTCTTTCTTCCTGTCATCAAAGACGACCACGTAGCTGCGCATCTTATTTCCGCCGCATTTAAGGGTTAAAACCCCTTTCCACGGCTACAGGGATGGAGCTGCAGGAGGGATGGTGAGGGTGCTGAAGGCTTACCTGACCAGTGGCCGGTGGTGGAGCCAGCCCTGTCGGTGCAGGTGTCGCTGACGGGGCGGAACACGGTCTCCCAGCCGCCGGTGGCGTAGCGCCAGTTCTGCGACTCCAGGATGAGCGTGCGCTGCGTGCCGTAGGCGATCATGAAGCAGTACACCACGTGGTGAAGCTGGCAGCCGTAGCCACAGCCCTTGTTGATGTTGCACACGAGTTTCTTGGCTTTGCTGCAATCCTTCGGGTTCTGTAAGGATGGGTGGAAAAGAGGAGCTGAAGGAACGATACACCAAAGGTTTGTGTTTTTCCTGAAAAACTGGCGAATGTCATAAATCACAGGAGCACTCCTGCTATAATACATCTCCTATTAAAATGGATGAGCAAGCATCAGCTCCATGAAACTTTTATGTGAATTCTTCACTGTGAACGTGAACAGTTATTGAACATGCTTCACTATCCTAATGTAAAATAGAATACATTCAAGATTTTAAATTACTTCCTCATTTGTAAATCTGTCAGAATAAGCCAACATTTGGACTCCGAGTTCACATTTCATCAACCTGATTCTCAGTGTTGGAATGCTTTTTCCTTTGGCATTTTTTCAAGTTTGTTAGTTCTCTTTCAATAAGCATGCATGTCATCCAATAAAAGAAAATTTCCACCTGTCTACAACATACAGAATAAAACAAATGCTTATTAAAGAACTGCTTCCCAGGCTTACTGACCACATAGTAAATACAGAATGTAAAACACCATACCTGAGCAGACTGATAAAGGACAGAATTTTAATTTGCATACGCTTTCCATAACATAACATACTTCATGTCCACAACCCAGGAAACCACAAGATAGGAGGCAAATCCATACATTGCATGAATGCTATGTTTAAAAGCAAAAACTAATAAATAATTGTAGGTACGAGGAATTTTTACGTATGTGGACATCACAACATCAAAACCAACAGAAGTTTTTCTTTATGTAAAAGAGAGTACTTTTCTGTACGTATTCATTGGCTCTAGACAGACTTCTAAATTCCAGAGAGGTCTTCCACAAAATCTCTAGGATGAAAGTTTCAGATAAGGTCTTATCTTAAGATAAGAATACTGGTATTTGAGCATCAATACAAATTCTGCTTCTTTCACATCTAAACAACTTTAAATAAAATTGTCTGTAAATTTACAACAATCAAATCAATCAAATCTGCAAAAAACAATGACCCCTGTCTGGAGAACTCAGATCCCTCCTTCAAGTGATCTTAAAGATAATCTGAATATTCTGAGTCCTAAAATACTTCTAAATAAAATTAATTTGTATATTCAATTGTGTAAAGGAGGGGACAACAATTCAGACTGGGAGAGGGGTAGGGGGAGAAGGGAAAAATAAAACATCCAAAACAAACCCAAAACTCTATAACATGTGCTATACCTTCAGCATTGCTTTTTCATTTTAAATACACCTGACTCAAAGCATAATTAAGTATGAAAACAATAAATGAAATAAGATTTCCATTCCCAATTTTTGTTCCTCAGACCAGTACTTCTGTCATCACACATTTAATGGATAACTTGAGACTAAACCTAACAGGTATCTTTTGAAATTATAAGAAATGTATTTCCCACAGTCTTTCAGAAGAGAAAGAAGGCCTTTCTAGTATTCTGCACAAGTCCTCATAGCAATATCTCCATTAAAAAATACCTCCTCATATCATTATTATCAGCAGTATTTTATTTTTATTATTAATATTGTCATTAATATTAACATATTTTGCTTGGTTTGAGTTATTAAACTGTTCTTATCTCAACACATAATAGGGTTTCTTTGTGGGTTTTTTTTTAATTTGTTTGGGGTTTTTTGCCTCCATGTCCTACCAGAGAGGAGGAGGAGTGAGTGTCTGCAGGTACTTTGCTGCCAGCTTGGGTAAAGCCACAATGCTATCCTTTTTGAAAGGGATCATCTCTGTGAATTTTTAGAAAATGCCCTTAGATTATGCTTTCTACACTTGCCATTGCATTCAAATGTTTGTGTCCTCTAAAATGAAAGCATTTAATCGATGGCATACTTGAAGTATTGTCAAGGTGTGCCCTTCTTACTTTCTTTCATGCATATGTAAGCTTCGTATAATAGGTTATGAACAGTATTATGGAAATTAAGTAATAATCACACAATGAAACATAATTTGATAGTGTGACTTACCAGTGTTAATATAATGCACTTACTTGGGTTTTATCATTATTTGTAGACTTAACTGAAAACTATATATTAGCATTAGTTTGTGACTTTAAAAGGAAGCTATTTAACTAATATTTTTATGACTGTGGGTTTTTTCAAATTGCTATACTCAAGTAGCAAAAAGCCAAAGCAGTATTTGAGCTTCAATTGTCTATTGAGAATTTTAAAAGAAAAGGTGAAGTAGAGATACTTGGATATATTGCAGTTTCAACTGGTGTTTCCAGGAAAAGGTGGAATTATTACCATTGAAAAGGAAGAAAAGTTACATTTCAGGCATCAGAATAGCTTGGGTGTTCATAACCAAAACTACCAACCAAAGCAAGTACAGTACAAGTATTGAGCTGATAAAGGATAACAGTCAATTTCAAAACCAATTAAGACTGACAAAAGAGTTTTCCTCCTGGCACAAAGTCACAGAAAAGGATTATAAATCTCTGATTTGAATGGGTAGTATATTCTGTTCTCAACCCTAATGACACTGCTCATCACACTCCCATCTCCAGTTTAATGATCTACATAATCAAGAGAGGGATGAAAGGAACCTCCACGAATGTCAAGCCCCATAATGTAACAGCCACACAACTGCAGTAAAAACAAATACCAAAAAATCAAAAAAAAAATTACACAAACCCACACAAAACCCCAAACAAACAAAAAACCTACAGCTGACCAATCACACAAAACATACTTCAATATATAGATTAGATCATCAAGCCATTACAGAGTTTACACCTTTTACCCTCCTCTGAATAACTTCTATTAATAGTGCAGCTGAAAAAAAATAACAAATTTTCAGAATAGCAAAACGGTTAGAATTACATATTTCTGTGGAAGAGAATACCATCTAAAATAAAAGTAGATTTTTGCAACTGGCAAGATGGATGTAATGGTCTTTCATCACAAAGAACATGGGCATACACTGTTGCTCTCCCAAAATTCCAGATTTCCACTGCATTCTTCTTCCAGGGCTCTTGGTTGGCCTATTCAGAGAAAGCAGGCTCAGATGGGACTCGTGTCCCAAGTGCTGCCTCAATGCCTCACCACCTTCCAGTGCCCAATCATCAAAACTCATGACAAACTGGCAAAAGTAAACCCTGTCCCTGAACATATTTTACTCTGTGAGAAATGACTGTGTTGTTAATGACTTTAGAACAGTTCAGAGAAATGTTCTTACTCCAATGAATCACAACAGATTTGAGTGGAGTGGGAAAGCACTCTGCTACCATTTACTAAGTAACCTCATAAACACAGTATAATGCTCATTTTAAAAGTTATTCTTTTTTCATATGTTCAATAAATATTTTATCCTTTGATGCTACACAGTCTGCTGGAGAAGAGAGTCCCACCCAAAGTCTTTGAAATATCTCATTTTTTTTAGGGAAATATGTCAAAAATGGGTGTTTCTCATCCTAGTTATCACAAACGCAATTCTCACCATCTTCTACTCCCCTTCTTCTGTGATGTCATTTGTAATCCTTCTTTTCCAGACCAGCTCCCCTCAAGACTTTAGGGGTAGAAAAAATCTAAACAAAGAAACAAAAAAAACCCAAACAAACCACCAGAAGTTTCTTCCAGAGATCTCAAACCTTCCTCTAATGTTAACTCCTCCAGTTTGCACCTACCCTCCTACGACACACAAGTTTCAGCTTGAGCAAAACATCCCAGCAGCAGATGGACTTTAACACACTGTGTTCCTCAATCCTAGAGAAAACCTCCTGCAGATATATCAGCAGTGATCACACTTTCTTAGGTGGCTATTATACTAAAACCATACAATATAATTTTGATTTTATTGATTACAGTTGTATGGGAGGCATCCCTTTGCATGTATGCAAAGAGGCTTGTTTTTTTGTTCTTGTCATTTCAGCATAAGCATTTTTATTAAAAATACGAATCAGTAATTTTAATGTGAGGGAGAGGATTTAACACACTTTAAAAAAATGCACTTAGAAAAATCTAAGTAACACATTAAATTACCAAAAATACTGCAAAGTCCAGAAAGCTCAGAAAAAAGTTTTATGACCAACTTTCTTTTCTTTGCATACATACAAAGCCCCAGCTAAACAGTATGGCAGAATATGTCTAGAATATGGCAAACCATGACTAACATAATTGAAGTGTTGCTGAGTACTTAGTAACCTTTCTCACCTGATTTTATTTTTAACCTTCAAAGCTGAACAAAAAGTTTTGGTTTTGTTTTAAATTAGAGGCAAAAATATTCTGCTATTGCAAGACCGCATGCTGAATCACAAACTTCCTAAAATAAACAGAACAAAAATAAGCACAAAAGAGAAGGGACAGAAAACTGCTGCCTTCATAATCATTTATTCACTTGATTACAGTACCACAGGTGCTCTTATCTGACTTCTCTTGCACATTCTCTTCGACTGTTCAATAAAAAACATCTCTGAAAATAAGGCCTTTTCCTTAAATATAAAGTCCTAGCTTTTTAAATGGTGCTCCAACTATAGGGAACTAGTTATGTGTAGCCTCATTAAATCAAATTTATGGTAATGTCATCCAAATGAAGTAGCAGTCATCACTATTCACAATCATTCAGCTAAATGACTTCCCAGGGAGATGTCCCAAAATAATGCAGCTGTCACTGTTCAACATGTACCAGAAAAAAGCTATGCAGAACTTTCATACTTAACTAAAAAAACAATTATAAGTATGTCCCATATAATTCTTTTTGGTGTTGACTTGAGGGGCAAGGGCTGTTGAATTTTTAACTTTCTTTTTAATACAATTTTATTATTAATAAAGGTATATAAATGTGTATCATTTAGAACTATTTGACTGCTTTACATTGGTGCATATTTGTTAAAGTAAATAACTTTGTGCTCTTTTTGATGACTTGCACAGTTATATTACTAAATAGGGCAACAAATGGATAGTGAAAGACAAGGAAAAGGTAAAGAAAGGCTATATTTATCAGCATGAAAAGCAGTTACAGTATATTACTGCCAAACAGCAGTACCAAAATGAAAAAATAAGGAACAGTTCTCAGAAAGGAGCTGAAGCAGTACAATAAAGTGATGACTCCTGCACAATTTAGGGAGATGTTTTTTCTCAGAAGGGTGTCTTTTTTATGTAACATGCATCAAATACACATAGCTTGGTCACAGAAGAGAAGGTTCCAACAGCTGAACTGTGAAATAATGAAAATCTGAGAAACAAATTCAGCTATTTACACAGGAGAAAAGACCAGGCATTAGGAGTGACCGTACAAAACAGCTGCACATGCCATAAAAAATAAACCAAGTACAAATTAAACAGACTACATTAAGTATCTTTTTGATCACTACACAAATAGCTGCATGCAGTCATGAAAAAATGTCCCAACACCTTCAGATCAAGTTTTATTTAAATTTTATACACGCACACAAGCACATATATTAAAAAGGCCTTATGCACTCGAAAAAATGAGCATCTAGAGAAGTCTCAAAGATCTGTTGAAACAATCTAGGACTAGACAATACACTATACAAGCACTTCAATTTTGCTTCCTTATGTTTTTAAAAATGGGCTGCTAGTTCAGAAGTTTGGTACAAGGACTTTTGTATTTTGAAGTCTATGCAAACATATTTATGCATTTTGATACTCTAAAGGATGAAATTTAAAAAAATCAATCAGAGAATTATCTTTTACAATAAAGTGAAGAATTCAAACCAGTAAGTACAACCCAGTAAAAATCATGGATCCAAAAAAAAAAACCCACAAAGAAACAAACAAACCAAAATAACCAAAAACAAAAATACAAACCCCAATTGCCTTGGAATACTACCTTCCATATTCATATAAAATAATGTTTGAAACAAATGTAATAATTTCTTTTCTACATAATTCGTTCATATACCAACATTAATTTTAAACTGCAATGTAATTATTTTATTGCAAGGTTTTAGCTTGCATAGGAAGAAAAATAAGTTTACCCTGATTCAAAAGCTCTATCTTCTTACCTGTAAATATGTTATTCTTCTCTGTACCAAATCTGTTAAATCTTTGGCCTCTTTTTCTCGCCAATCTCCAGCCCCATCTGTTTGACTGAGGTAGTACAAGTCGGTCATTATTGACCTATAAACAGCAATGGAAAATAAATTTAACATTACTAAATTGGAAGATTAAATTAAATCAAAGACAAATTAAAGAGATATTTCAATTGTAGCTTCAAAATCAGTTTCTTCGTGCCACCTCCTACTGCACAATTCAAACAGCAGCTAAGATAGACTGAGTCCTTCATCTAACAAATGTTCCATACCCATTAGCAATTCAGAATTAACAATTCCAAACAGACTCATGGCCATGCAAGTCCATACTACAAAACACGAATTTTGAGAAACTATCAAATACTAAATTGAGATTATCTAATACATTAAAGACTCTCTCCTTAGGGTTGTAACATTTCATTGACCAAATAAGAGAATAAAGAATTCATCATCATGGAAATAAAAATGTTATATGACATTTATTTGTTAAGATTTGCACATTAGTCCAAATTACTGATTTTGTCCAAACAGTATCACCCTGGAAAAGATGTTTTTTTTCATCTCTGTGGCTTTTGGGAAGAAATAGAAAACTGGAGACAAACTATTCAAAGTGTTTCTAGAAACGTTAATGGTTATTCTAAAAGTAAAAGGTGGTCCAATTCAGAACCAGTTATTTCAGAGTTGGTTTCATAGATTGAGAATATTTAATATTCCTAAACATTGCTCCATAAAACAGTGCTAAAGTTGTAAGTTTGAATCACTTTTCTTATTACTTTCATCTGAACTTCAGATGCTGCTATTTATTGCCTGAAATTGTTGATAAACCACAAGTTTGATCACCAGAAAGAGAAGCAACACAACAAAGGCAGAGAAATTTGGGAGGCGACCAAAAAACCAGTGTGAGGGTAAGACAAATACATTTCCTAACAGCATTTGAAGTGGTCTTGTCAAGCTGTTGGCAGCACTTGTTAGCACTGGAAGCACAAACCCAATTAGCCAAGGCTACATAAGAGAGCCCTTGTACATAAGTGAGAGGAGCAGGCTGCATATCCCTACCAGGAAACTATTTCCAATGACACAATATTTAAGCAGTAAACATTGAGATAAATTAAATTAGGGCAGCCCTATCTTTATCAGCAGAGTTATCAGACAAACCTTTCTTGCTAATTTAATAACTGGATTTAGGGATCTGTAGTTTTATTCTCATACACTCATTCTGGTCTTTATCCTCATGCTTTTACATAGGGTAACAGAGACACTGACTGTAGCATCTACTATTGTTATATTAAATATTTTACCCAAATTATTCAGAAGCAGAAATCCTCACTTTCTGTCAATCAACTGGAAGAACCATATCTACATTCTAAACTGAAACTATATAAACTGGATTTTCCTCTAGAAGGTAACTGAGCTTGAAGCACCCTATAGTGGCTTTGCATAAAAATTCATTTAAAGCATCACCAGGTAACCAGTTAAATCAGTAACTATTAAAGACACATAATACTCACAGTAACATGCACACCCAGTTTAAAGAGAATTAGAACAGAACTCATGATGGACTAGTTCTAATACAATGGTTTATATACAGATAACTGAACAGATATAGTTCAGTTAAACAGATAAAGTATGCTCCCCTTAAGACAGTTTCCCTGTTTATAGAAAACACATAAGCTAGTAGGCATACTGGAAAATTAAACCAATGCATTTTCTTGTGAGTTTAAATATTTTTTTTCCTCCCAATCAGGATGCAACCATGTTGGGTGTTTAAAGCAAAAATACAAAGTTATGGTTTAAATATTAAAAAATGAAAAAAAAAAATTCCTCTATCACTAAAAGCAGCTGTGCAACCACATAGTATAGCCACATTTTAAACCATTTTCAAATGCTCTTTCATTAGCCTTAAAAAAGTCTTTTCTGTACCTGTGATGTAAGTAACCAGTATACTCTCCCTATAGGTATATAGAAATATATTTTCCATTAAATATTATTTTCAGCTCTTAAGTAATTTTTCCTATTTCTATGGAAAAAAAGCGTTGCCCAAATTTTATTTTTTATATTATTGGCCATGGTGACCACGACAAAGAAAAGGCAGTAGCTTAGTTTTAATAATCAGCCTTATGGATGAAACAGAATTACTTTGATAATTTTTGAGGTAAGAGAAATGGTGAGAGTGTCCTTACACAGCCTCAATGACTCACCACATTAGGTAAAGGCAGCTTTGCTCAATAGAAACCATAAAAAGTATCAAATTATTTTCAGGAAATGTTATGAATTCATGAAAGAGTGTTCAGACTGTATCCATAATCTTCTTTTAAAAAAATTTTCAAAACCCTGAAGTAAACCAGGAAGTGAAAAATTCATAGGTGTTATCAGGCAGAAATTATTATAAGCCAGGACTATTTTAAGACACAGCCACAGAGACCTTCTTCCTTTGATTGTTACTGCTCAGAAATGTTCATTTTCTAGCTACACCTGCTAGGGTTTTTTTGAGTGTGACAGATCACTGTGATAACTTATTAATACAGATTTAGAAGAGACACAAATGCCAAAGCCCATGGCATTTTTATCCCCCTGCATGGCCACGCTCCATGCAGAGAGGTAAAAGCACAGGGAGTGGTGATCCCTGAGCCCAGGATAGCTCAGGGCAGAGGAAGGCTGAGCCTGCACAGGGTGACCAGAGGCTACTGCAGCTGGTAAAATGGCAACAAACTTCACACAGTGGCACTGCAGATTGCACTGCATCAAACTTGGACTTGCACTTGTTGGCTCACTGACCAACAACATCTGACTTGTTGCTGTCCTTGCTTCATATCATAAAATAAACCTTGGAGCTGCACTTCAAAGCAGAATGGAGGAAAAAAATCTGGCTGTGTTTTATCTGCATTTGATTGCCAAAATAAAGAGGGAAGGGTGGGTGTTTTTAACAATCAGTCTAGACATTTATTCCAGTCATATGAAAAAATCTCAACCACCTAAAAATTTTGTATCAACAAATTAAAACTCAAAGGAAAATATGTAATTCAAAGGAAATAATGTGAAAATTTGTCCAAACACTATGCATCAAATGTTGGCCAGTTACCACAAAATCCCTAATGACAGCTACTCCCTGGGAAAAGGAATGAAATTAACTCAGTAACAGCCACCTTGCAAACAACTTTTGTCAACACAGGAAACAGCCATGACAACTAGAGGACTAACTTGCTCTTTTTTAATAACTCGATACCAAATAGTCTTTCCAATGTTAAGATGAATTTAGTCATAACAGCCTTCTTCCCTCTAGCAACTTCGAGAATACAATTATGTAATTTTCAAGGAAATTCTTCTGTTTCTCAAACAGAACCAATACTGAAATACTTGACAAAAACATATGCAAGACCAGCACTCTCCAGGAGAAAATCCAACAGCTCCTAGGGCATAGCCAACAAACAGTGATTAAAGCATCCAACAAGAAGCACTATCATAGGAGCAGTAAACAATTTGCTTAACATCACCCAGATTAACAAAGAACTCTAATACTTCTTGTCCAAATCCACGAAAACTGAAGTTTATCATCTCTTAGAAAGCAAGTCTTAATCTATGACACAGCAGGCTTTCCTCACAAACAAAGCAAAATAAATATTAGCCTTTTTCCTTACATAACTACTTCATCATTTTATACCCACCTCTTTGCTTTCCCACATAAGGACAGCATGAAAACTCCTTTAAGTACTTATAATTAACACTAATCTTTCTAATCCAAACATTCTAACATATATTAAAACTTCTGAGATATCTTTATGTATACTTACATGCATGTATATATTTATGAAAGTAAGTAATACCAGCTGCACTTGCAGTATTCCATTTATCTAAAATATAACTTTTTAAGACAGAACTGTAAACAAAAGAGCATTTGGCAGCAGTTTAATCTCTTTTAAAAAATTCAAAAAGTGCACATGTACTTAAAAAAAAACCAAACAAACAAAACAGGCAATAAGTAAAAAAACAAAACAACCAAAAATCCCAAACAAATGGAAAAAAAACAAAAAAAAACAGAGTGAAGGAGAACATCTGATTTGCTCATTCCAAACTTATGCTATGTTTCTTTCAGAGAAGAGAGCAGATGGACAGTGTGGAGGGAAGATGAGTGGCTCCTTCCCTAGGGAGCCACTGTGCCTTGTGAGGGAAAAGAACACCCCAGAGACAGCAGTGCATCACATGCCAGAGGATGTGCACACAAAGAACTGGGAATTTCCCTGCAATTCACACAACACCACCGAAAGAGTAAAGGAAAAGGTGGCAGCTTGACCTCAAAGATGCAGGAAAAAACTTCCTCAGGACTAGAGGGAATCAAGAAGGGCATTCTGCAACACAAGAGAATTCTACTGCTTGAGGGCAACATTGCAAATGCACCAGAAACAAAGGCTGAATATCGTAGAACTATTTTTGTATCTGTTTTTTTCTAATGAAATTCCCTTGAATTTCTATATTGTAAAGATTGCCTAGATTCAGTTTAATAAAAACTAGTTTATGGCTGTTTGCTTTTAGTTTAAATGACTTTAGTCTTCTTTGAGGACCTCACCAGACAGGAAGGTTTACACAGATCTATTACTAAGACTAAACAGACTTCAGATTATTTTGTATTTAATAACCACCATGACAACTGAAAGAATACTTGTACTCAATGCAAAAATCCTCAGAGGAAAAAAATAAGCAGTTGTGGATGCTTGCATCATATATAAACTTCTTTCAGTATCACAGAGAGATTCAGCTCATAAATTCCAGAGGTCTACAGAGCAGTTTTATAATTCAATGCAAAGCAGTTTATGCACCTCAGAATGGGTTTCATCTCATCCTGAAGTATAGAGAGATGTGAACATAACAGTGCCAGATATGCAGAAACTTGCAAATTAAAATTAATTATCATTGATGTAGAATGGAAAGGACTAAGGAAAAGGACTCATCCTGGGAGGTGGCAACATAAAAACCTTCTGGCATCAAACATCATTTAAGGTTTCACTGTGGTGACTGCCTCATCCTGGCTTTATAAACAGAGCAATAATGTGCAAACAAGTGATTTTGTTACCATGACAGATGTCAGAAAGTCTGGTATTCAATTACTTGCTCCAGTTTTTAGCAGAGATAGTTTAAAAGGTACATAAGAATCCATGACCTAAAGTTCAAGAAGCCCAGACAGAAATAACTTCTATGGAGAAGGAATATTTCTGAGAGGAGATAGTTATTGATACAAACTGTCCAGGGAAGTGGCAGCTTCTCTGCCAGTTCACTGTTCAAGTGAAGATCTCAAGCCTTTTGGAAAATTCTGCTTCAGCCAAGCACTATTTTTAGTTCAGTCAAATATATAAAACTGCACTTGGCAAAGAACTAATTGGATGAAATTTAATCATGCCCTTCATATAAATAATAACTCTCAATAATTGAATAGTCCCTTCTCACTTTCAACTCAATCAATCTGTGACAAAATGGATTTTGGAATTGTGGAATATTAAATTACAAAATTTAATAGCCTATACTATTTGCTCATATTAATAATCAAATTCATATTGTCTTTATGTTTTAAATAGTGTTTGCATTATTTCTCAGGAATTGAAAATTCTTATGATTTTTTTACCTTTACTATATTAGTATTATTTTCAAAGGCTCTTGCTTTATTACATTACTGCCTTTTTATTACTGTCTTTTTTCAGGGCATTGATTTAAGATAGTATATTTAGTTAATTCAACTATTTTTATGTAACTGTTTACTGATGAGACACAAACTGTTGTTGCAGTCCTGTTGAGAACAGAGTTATAATATGCTTAAAGACAGATGTCACTGAATTTTTAACAATTCCTGGATTAATTTTGCTCAGCATGAACAAAACTCACACAGAATATTTTAATATAATACAAAAGGCACTCCAACAATAAGGAGGCCTGATGATTGACAACAATGAAAAATATAATTGCCATGCATCTTGAAGAAGATAATGACAGTTAAATTAAAGGTCAGAACCAACTATTGCAAGTACCTTTCCTGATGACCCAAATCAGACAGAAATTCATCAATGCGTGTCTGCAGTTCACTTCCTTCTAGACTTTTCAACTTCTTCAGTTCACTCTGGAGGAAAAACCAAAGTTCCTTAGCCCCATTTTCAATCCTCCTCCTCAGTATTTCATGGTCTTTTCCAAGGCCTTCTACTAAAAAAAAAAAAAAGCATAAAAGTATCAGTACTTGTAGCTGAATTACCTGTTAAGAAGCCAATAGAACTGTGATATGAAATACCAAAACACCAAAACTTGGTTTAGAAATAAAAGAAAACTTATCTACCAACCATCTCCTGTCCGCTTCTTATAGTTTTCTATCTGTTCTTTGGCCTTGAGAAGTTGCTCCTCTAAAGCATGTACCTTTCCTGCAGCTGGTCCCTGATCAATGGGACCATCTGGTATCCTAGGATACAGAAAATAAAGAAACTGCATGATTTATAATTATTTGAGAAATTATTTGCATTAACGATTCAGTTCTCCTCTCATTTTTATTTCGTACTGTTTTACTGATAAACTGTCAGATTTACTTATAACCAGAAGAAATTAAACATTTTTGAAAAACAGGAATTCTTACCAAAAAAAAATTCTTACCAAAGTCCTGACACCTATTTTACTCCTTAAAATATAAGAAGTGAGTTTAAAGTAAGTTCAACTAAATTAAGATAATTCTAAGCAACAATAAAAAGCCACATCAGTAAGCATCTAGCACAGAGCATCCTTCACTTTTTACTATGGTAAAACTGTAAATTATGTTATGAACACAAAATAAACACCATTACAATCCACTTAAATGGTCAGCCAAGCTAATAAATCAAGGTTTATTTCAATTCTCATAAATTACAAGGTGTGATGTTTGCATTCTGCTTCCTACCATCTGATAGCAAATATAAATTATCTTTTCCATAATCAACTCATCAGATAATTATATTACTGCATAACTTTAAACATCAAAAACTTATGCTATAGAGACAACCTGTTTCTGCTTTGTCCCTTGTCAGTAATTCAGATTTAAAAAAAATAATTATATATATACATAATCCATATGACTGAGGCCACCTTCTCATCACCTTCAGTAACAGAGGCAATGACAAAGCAATGATCTCTAGTCTGGATCTCTGAAGGCAAGAAGAATCCCTTAAAAATTAATCATAGAGACATTCAATTTAGCTAGAAGAACTGCCATACTGTGTAAAATAATTGTAAAAATAGTTTTTAAAAACCCATAAATTACAGAAACCATTCTAAGCTTTTCCTATTTCCAAGATATCTAAAAGGTTACACTAATTTATCAGCAAAAGGAAAAATGTAAGATTTCACAAGTTCACACTCAAATACTTTCTCATTCTTTCATTTATATCCAAGTTCTTTGTATGGAGCTAGAAGGTTTATAGTTAACTAAAGTCACATTATGATTGCATTTTCTTCTTTCACTTTTTTCTCTTCCCCAGGAAGAAAATTATGTTCAATTATTAATGGCCACTAGCACACACAAACAAAAAGAATACAGGCTGTCACTTCATGCTTCTTAGATGAAACCCCTCAGTAAATAAAACTGAAAGAACAGAGTCAATGTTATCTGCAAATAAAGAGCAGAATAAGCATTCCTTATCAATTGAGATCAGCCCAGCCCTGATCAGCACTGATTTGTATCCACTGCACATCTTCCTTCCCTTAACTCAGAATTGCACAAAAACCAGTAAAAAGAGCAGAGGTGCCACCATTTGGTTCAATTATCTTCATTCTTCCCACACTGGCCTATGCAATGCCCTCCACTTCAAACTTGAGATATTATAAATACATGAAGTAGAAAACTGTACTATAGTATTTAATTTTTTATCAACCCAAAGCTATTCTTCTATCCAAGCTTCTTTAATGCTTCCTACAGGATTAACAGACCCAAAAACTGCCTAGAGTAATTGACAGAAGAACTTTAATAGAGTTGCTTTTAATTAATTGAACTTGAGTTCGGATTCTCCACCAGCCTCAGCACCAGCTACATTAAAGCAATTCTAGTGATCCTTCAAAATTAAAATCTGATCTCTTCTTTCTGAAGCTACACTCAGAACTATAAGAATAATGTGCAGAGACACTGGTGTTTGGTTTTATGCGTTTGATGCCCTTTTCCACCTCTGTTCTGCTTTATAACACACGCTCCTAATTCAGAGTCAGAAACAGCTTATCATATTTATTAAAAGAATTGCAGGTTCTACAAAATGCAATATTTAAAAGACTCTAGGAAGCAAATACAGTCCAAATGTGATGTATTCATAGCATGAACACAGTATGAATCCATTTAACAAGATTCTCTATTTCCTTGAGGAGAACTCTGAAATTACTGGTTCCTAAACTGCCAGGTTTATCTTCCATCAAAATACCCTAAAATATAAAAATTTGACTACCACCCAGTAACACACAAAGAAGCACATAAATACTATGAAGCATTAATGTATTGCAAAAATAAAGCAAGCCTAGGACAAGGATGAAGGCATACACAGCTTCACAGTTTCCATCCAAGAAAATGGGACATTACAAAGGTTGTAATTTTAAGCTCTCCTATTCCTGAAAGCCTTGTATCATCTTTATGCAACAGGGAACAGTCTTTAGCAGTCATAGCATAATCCTAATAGAAAGTAAAACTTTTAGGCAAAACTACTGGTTTTAGGAAACATCATCATGTAATACTTTGATTTGTTTTGACTCCCTCTCAAGTTTCCCTTAAAAAAGTACAAAAATTGTAGTGAAGATTTCCAGTTTTGCTGTGACACCTTCTACATCTGTAATAAGAGTCCTTGAAAGGGCACTTCCACATCCATGGGGTATAGAACAGTAAAACATCAGCCTATAAAAAACTCAGATTTATTACTATTTTGCACTAATGAAATCTAAACTGCTTCTAAAATCAATCTAGATCTGCTCACACAATATTGTTTATAATCACATACAGACTATGGTAACTCTCCAAACTCACTATACTGCAATATTCATGCACATAATTTCTAAAGCTCAGACAATATAAAACACCTTTAATTCCATTTATCTTCTTCATCATTAATATACATCTGTGCCTCTTTCTAGCCCACAAGCAAGGTTTTTACAAAGCATCATATTTGGCAAAAGAAAGACTACACTAACTTCTCACCTAAGGCTTTTTAAATACACCATAAAAACTATCTGGTACCTGATATAATTTCAAGTAATCAGAAGTGCACCACAAGAGTGTGCTCAGTTCTTAAAGGAATATCTTTTTTTATTTCAGGCCATTTATAAAAAGATGTGACTGTTCCAACTTGCACTCTTGCAAAAGTACATCTTAGAAAATAAGTACCCAAAAATGTGCTCACCAAAAATCCTTGCAAAAATAAGAACTACTCTTAACCAATATGGGTAATAAATTAAAAATATTTTTAAAAATCATAAATTTATAAGAAGATTGTGCATTTTTTTTTAAATCAAACATACAAATGGTTGCAGTGAGTGTGAAATAAACCAGAATAATCAAAAAAAGTACCTATCCCTGCCCTAAAACCCTAATTCTACTCCTCACACATCTTGTGTGAAAAGAAGCAAGCAGGAGAAAATTACAAAATCAGATATTATTTAAGTATCACAGAGCAGAAAGGGTTTAAGTAAGATTTTATGAAGCCTTTTCACAGATATGATCTTTGTCAAGTTTTGAATGGCTGGTTTTGCATGCACATAACGTACGTTTCACAAGGCACATTTTCTTTTTTGTCATTGGTCTTTGGGGATGAGGAGCTGCTAAATGAATTGGCAGCAAAGGAGGATTGTAATGTGAGGGTGCAAAGATCACTTCTTGTCATTTATGTTGGCATTCTTAGAGAGATGGATGGAAACAAGCACAGTCTGGCTCCTGCTCTCAACCATCCCAGAAGACTGACACTTTTATCAGGTGATGAGGAAGTCACAGGAGTCACAGGAACCCTTTATAATGGGAAAGTCCAGGCAATTGAAATGTACTGAAATACATTTTACCATTTTAACTAACAATTAAAAATGAAATATCAATTTTCTCTAGCTTCAAAATGGAAATTAAAACACAACTTACACTTTTATTAAATTACTAATTCTTGTAACCATACCTGCCTTCTGCCCCTTCCTGCCTGCCCTAACTAGCTATTCATAACAGCACAACTAATCATTATGATAATTTTCTAACATTCACAGAACTTCTTTCCTCACTAAGGTAAATTCTGTTAACTGGAGCTTTTTACTGTGCAAAAGTTTTATCTAATAGTGCAAAAATATTTTAACTATGCTAGTTAACTAGCATAGTTAATCAGATGTTTGTTTATTGTTTCAATTTTACAAGTAGGCATTCTCATCTTGTATAAACTCCTCCACAAGTAACTTTAAGCTCTTATTTGGAATATTCCTAATTTCAGGCATTATTTAGCCCTGCTGCATACCATAATATATTCTATGTTTTAGCCACAAAACATGTGCTGTTTTGTTCTCTATATATAAAATCTTAGTGGAAAAGGGCAGCAAAAATCAGTTTTTATTTCATGCCCTTTATGAGCTGTACTGATGCAGCAAGTGTTGTCTTATCCACTCTGATTTAACTGCCACTATCAGTAATTAGAGTTTTCAATACAAAACAAAAAATTCTAGCAATTAAATCATATTCAAATAATAGTTCCAATCTCAGTCACTGATCAGTAAAGCCTGAAATAAGTTTCATCTTTACTTTAAGATGTAAACTGGAGCAAAAGTAATCTTTTCCATCTAATTGGATTTCTGAAGTTAAGAGGTATTTTGTTTCTATAATGTATGCTCACAGCAGCAGTGATCTCCTCCAGGACACAGACACACTCAATCCATGGACTGCTGGTTAATGCCTCATTTTAAACGGGCACACTCCTACAAATCTATAAATGGGACAGTTTTAAAGCTAACAGCTATTTTCAACACAGCTTATTCTATCTGGCAAACAAAGAAATGAGATACTGAAATTCTGTACCACATTATGATTTAATACTTTAATAACACAGGTTGACCAGGATATTTCCAAAACCCATTTGTGATGTTTCTGTGTAAACAGTACCATGAATTTGGCACAGTAAAAATAATGAAAAGGCCCTATATTGTCATGCATCATTTCCCTCAAAGTCTAGTACTTCACCAATGTCAGATTTTTTCCAGCAAAAAACTATGCATGATGATCTTCCAGTCTCAAGCTGGCTCACTCCTGGAGAGCACTGACTACTGAACCTGGGCATGTGTGGCTGTTCAACTGGTATTTAAAGATATTTAGGCTTCCTCATGCTAGAATTTCAGGTTCTCCTGTGGTTATGATATGCAAACACTCTGAGGAAAGGTCTCAGAAATATTGTTAAACAACAGATTTACAAAAAAGCTGAACAGAGTCCACTCAACACGGTTTTGCATCTTATTCCAGCTTCCTGACATCATTAGTGGAATCATAGAGAAGGAAAGTTGAAATATTGTAGCATGTTTAGAGTTGATATAACTGATGTTTTTATTTTTATAAATCATGGGAAATTACCAGTATAAGCTATTATTTAAAACTTGCCCAGCAAAAATGTAATATTTATCTGAACATAGATAAGGTTAGTGAAATATAGAAGGGTATTTAGAAAAATCATCACTGCCTAAAAAATAGTTTAGGCTCTATTTAGCCTCCTTCTTGAGAGGCAAACAGTGCCCTGCCACCAGTAAAATCATTTACTTTCTTCTAGTCACTGTGTAATTTGAATGGGTTATATTTCAATGACTGTGTAACCGTAAAAAAGGAGATGATCCTACTGTTTTACAAGTATTTCTACAAGTTTAGTGGCAAGGAAGAAAACTTAGATAAAAAAATTTGTATAATGCAGCAATCTATTGCAGATCATCTTCAGCGAGTCAGCATTTATCTTCAACGAGCTGTACAAATGTTTTCAGCAATTTTAAAATGAGCTCTTCCAATTACTGCACGCAGAAGTATAAAGAACTAGATGTTCTAATTTGTATGAATGTCATAATAATTGCACTTGTTTGAAGTCGGCATTGAGGGGTGAATCACCTACAGAACTCAGTTATTGTGACAGAAACACTTCCTCACCATTAAACGACTCTTAAGTAATGATTACATTAGACCACAACTAAATGTACATTATTTATTTAAAGGTGTTGCAATATATTTTCAGCTACTTGTAGCACAGATTAAAACACCTGTATATACTTCTAAACGTGAAACAGAATTTTGCAAAACCTCCCCAAACAACCCTTACAATTTAAATTCTGATATTTCGTATTTCAAACATTTTCTGAAGAGTTTTAACTACTTTTGAGATCCCACCTGAGAGATTCTGCCATTCGCCTCAAGTCTTCATTTTGCTGTTTTAACCGTTCAAGCTTAGCAAGGATCTTGGATAATTCCCGACTGGAGTGCTCTGGGTGCTCGCTGTCTCGTACCAGGTGCCCACCGATATAAAAGAGCAAAGTTCCCCAAGCAAAGAGGATGAGCATGATCCAACGCCAGGATCCAGTCCATGGCCGCATTTTCAGAAGTTCAGTTCACTCCAGAGCTGCCTCCACTCACAAAATAGCAAACATTTTTCTTAGCTTATACAAAGGTGGACAATTCCAGTTCTTCTGCTTCAACACATTGTACCAGAGAAAAATTCTTTTCGGTATTTGTCTTACTGCAACTCCTTAAAGATTCTTATAAGGCTGTACATAGAAAGCATTAATATTGCATCATTCTTCATTTGTATTCTGTGGAAAAAAAAATAAAAAATAAATGTGAAATTATAATTCTGATATGTAAAAATACAGTGGACTGCAATTGAGCTAAATTTATTGCCATTAACATTCAAGAACAACAATAGACAATGTTATTACTTTCTGTCACAGAGACAAAGAAAAAAGCTTTTAACTTTCCACAGAACATTATGCTGAATTCACAAATGAGTGACAAAGAATATGCAATTAATCCTGGCTTTGAAATGGCCAGAAGAAATGCTGCTTTTTATAAGAGAAACATTTACCATTTCATGTGTCATTTCAGACATTAAAATAGTTTAAAAGTCACTCTGTGATAAGCTTAACATTTTCCTTTACTATCAACAAATGGCTTTTTTTAATTACAAATACATTTTCATTTTTTCACTTTTATTAACTTTCTGCTCCATTTTTTATCATGACTGCCACTCTAAAAAATGAGTTATAACTATTTTAACACTATATTCTGCTATTTGCAAGTATTTAAAAATCAGCCATGACTTCAGAAACACTTCTCTGCTGTTTCAAAACTATCAAACCCATTTTGACAAGTTGTTATTAAAACTATATAAAAAAAAGCAAAAAATGCTCCAAAGGTAATACCTTCTCTCACAAAAAAACCACTGTGCCATTTTTAAAAAATGCAAAATCACCTCAACTCATTTTCTACTTGGCAAAATATAATTTGATTTTGGGTAAAATTTTTGGGTAAAATATCTAGATCAGATTTTAACTGACAGCATATCCAGAGTCTTCTTTAAGTTCTTCTCTCCTCTCTTCCTCTTTCTCAGCAATGTAACATTTCCACCTTTTTTAAAGGGCACATATATGCTGTTCTGGTTCCATTTTCAAAGTTACCTATTTTTTGAATTCTCAAATCTCTAAATCCACTGTATTTCCTCTGAGATACCATCCACATCCATCTTCTCCCAAATTATTTTCTCTTTGATCCTTCTTTTCACCTTAACTTCTTTTTCATTTCATTTAGTTATTTTATTATATTACAACTTATTTCAAGTCTAATTTAAAGCAAAATCTTCCCACATTGCAATAACTTCCAAACTCACCCAGTTATGGAAATATGCCTGGAGCACACACTTCCAGATACAATAACTCTAACCTTGAAAATGCTTAGTGTTTTCAACAGCACTGAAAATGCTGAATTTTTTCTCTAGTTATTTTGAGAAGAGGGGTCGTTTGTATATGTTCAAAAGAGGCAAAAAAAATTCACTTATGACTAGTAAGATGGGACACAATTGTTTATAGAATACTTTGCAAGCAAAATATTGACTTTTTTTTTCAAATCTGTTTTTCACAAAACATGAGCCTAAGCAGACTTACAAATCAGGTATCTTCTTTATCAGAAGCAGCGTTGCTCTGTCTCAAACAACGTCAGTAGATCAGACAATCAAAAATCCACAAAATTGATATAACAAGTCATCAGGAGCAGATGGTATTCTTCCAACAGGTCTAAAGAAGTTAAAGAGTGCAAAAGCTTAATTTTTAACAGACGTGTGCAAACTCTTACTTATAAAGACTTTGTAGCAAAGGAATGGAAAATTAAGAAAGTAAACTGAATTATTTCTAAGGGCTATAGCAGAGAACCCTGCAATTACACGCCAGGAAAAAAATACATTTGCGTCAGCCAAACTGGCAGAAATAATAAAATGAAATAAACCTGCAGACATAAGGATGAAAGTAATAGAAGTTAAAAAGTACTAACATTACTTTTAGAAAGACAAACTGTGCCCCATGAATTTTATTTATTTTATTATTAAAGTTCTTTTGAAGATGTAAACAAACACACAGGCAAGACAGAACCCGTTCTAATTGTTACACAATTGATTTAATCAATGTGGATTTTCAAGTGGCGTTCAACAAGGTCCTCAAAATGTCCCAAAAACCCTAAGCTGAATGGAGGAAGAAAGATCATCATGTGAGTCCCCACCCCATTGGCAGAGAAGAAACATACAGTAAGACCAGGCAGTCAGATTAAGGGGAAAGAGTGAGCAGGGACATCTCTGCACCCATAGCAATGGGGAAAAAAAAAATCAGTTTATCAGTGCAGAGATGACCTTTGAGGCCCATTAGGAATGGGCTTTAGCTGTGATTGGTAATTTTATGAAATATCAGTTCATTGGGCTAAACGCAACAAAGTCCTCACAGGTTTTATCAGATTTCTATCAATCTCTGAAGATTGAACACAGAATGTTCTTTTCATATTTCAGGTCACAGTAGAATTAAATATAAAATACAGATGCCAAACTAGCTGAATGAATAGGAAGAACACTCTGAAAAAAAATATTAAAAAGCCTGGATCTCCAATGTGGCATATCTAATTACACAGGAGTTCCAACAACACTTAACTTTGTACAGTAATGTGGCTTTCACATGAATTCTTTTGTTTGGTACTGTTCTGGGATTGCAAAATGTCAATGTATTCGACATTTGTCAAAGCATTCGACATTCCAGGGATGGGACATGTAGGATCCCTGGATGCCCCATCCCTGCAAAGCTGGAGCCTGGCTGGATGGGACTTTGAGCAACCTGATGCAGTGAGTGGCAGCTCTGCTCATGGCAAGGGAGTTGGAACTGCATGATCTTTAGGGTTCCCTCCAACCAAACCATTCTATACTTCTGTGATTCATTGATTCAAAGTTCACACAAGATGTTTAGATAAATCAAATTAGAGGAAAAATCATCATATTTTAAAAACTGTTTAATTTTTTGTCTCGGGTTTCTGAAAGATCTCCATATGCAGACGTATGCCACAGCTATCTGCCTGACAGAAAGTCAAGATTTAATGTCAATATTTATACTTTCTTAATTTTCTACAGCTGTTTATAAGGTTTCATACTGTAAACTAAGTTCAAGACTGCCAAGACTGAAAGTATGAGCCTTGAGTTAGAAAACAAATACCACAGCAGCAGCCCACAAATGCAGCAATTCAAACCTGCCATGGATCATAGCATGGTTATTAACATCATCTGACACTGAATGTTTAAGTAAGAGTCCACCAAATCTAGAAGGTGGGGCAGGGCAGTACAAATAAATATATTTTATTAAGCAGGAGACAGAAAAATACCTAAATAGCAGTCGTTAGTGTTATTATAAATTTATGTTATAATTATATAGTGAAGGTCCTTTATCTTAGAATGTTACTTTCATTTTACCAGAGAAAGCCATGAATTTTAATCCGGTAGTTAGTTATCCCCTGAGATTTACCATGATTTCTTGTCTTACATTTCATTAGATTTACCCATACCCTTGCATTTTCCAGGGCATAAGCACATCAAAACATAGTATATTGGCAATTAGCTAATTTTTTTCCTTCAATTTTAGATTAGTTCTTGTTTCCATTCTAGGGGATCCTGAGAACGGATGATTACATTCTTACAATGTTAGTCTCTAAAATAATGTTAAAAAAACTCTTTCAAAAAGGCTTACCCTGAATATATGGAACAAAAAAGAATGTACTCCTCTATTCTCCCCAGCACCTAGCAATTTTTCAAGCTAATTTTCTTAACAAATTTCATCACTACACACAGTTAAGAGGGTTTTTCAACCTGATCCCTCAGGTAAATCATCTCCCATTTCTAAGAGCCCATCTACCAACCACAGAAATCCCAGTCACAGGCACAAGGCACGGATGGAAAGGCAAAGCTCAGTCCAAGAGGCAGCTCACATCAGTAAATCAAAGGCAGCTCTAATGCCAGTATCAGTGTGGGACTGCAGACACCACAGTGAAATGGGTAACCCCAGTCATTCCTGAATGCATGCTTGGAAAGACACAGCTTGTAGCTGCCATGAAATAAAGCAATATAGTATGGCATTCCCAGTGCAAAATCTTCCATACACAAAAATGAAAAGGTCTCCTGGTTCCCTAAGAGAGAAGATGAAGAGACTGCAGATCTCAAAAAAATTTTCTCAATGTAATGAAAAATAAACAGCACATTGATGTTAATTAAAATGAATGGTTTTTGTTTTTAAGAGTAGATGTTCTCTACCACTCCTTACAAATTGATTTGTTACTTCAGCTACTAAAGATATCAAACCAATATCAGGAAAAAGTTTTGTAGAATAAGAATGAAGGAACATTAAAAGCAAATGCTAAGTTGAATGTATCACATACAGTAAGCTATTTTTCAGGCTTAATTTAATCTTGTAGGTTGATTATAAAAAATCACTACAAAATGTGCAGCATTATCTAATGAAATAAAATAGGTTGGGTTGTAGTGGCTACCATAAATCATCGAGAATACATAATGTTCAACACATCAGTTGAATGAAAAATAACACTGTGAGAAAGAAACTCAAGTTAAAATTTATTTATTGTAAGTGCATAGCACAGAAAATGTGGTTAGTGTCACAAACTTTATTTAGAGTCCATGAAGAGGAGACAAAATATTTACCTAAAAATATGGGTCTGCTTCAAGTCTTAATTGGGAAATCAAATTTTGTATACTACACATGTAAGCCACAGTTGATAGTAAGAATGTGAGAAAGTTTTGTTGCCAAATTTAGAAGGAAAATTCAGTTAAAAAATAACATTGCTTCAATGCAATGAAATGCACTGAATGACTAAGTGAAGATGACTAAATGAAACACTAAAGACTTGATTAAAATGATAAGTAAAAAAAGAGACTGAAGCATAGCACCAATATCTTAATGAGAAATAATGTGAACCCATATCAAAGTTCTTTTGCAATAGCAAAAATTATTAATCAAAATTTTTTAAAAGTACTACCTTTCTTCATCTTGCTCCCACAGAGCCTTTAAGTTATTTTTAAGCTTTAAAAGGTACTTAAGAATTAGAAAATTGAATAGCCCAATACTACATAATTTTAAATTGAAGGACATCGTCTATGACTTAAATAAGGTTCTTTTTAATGTACTATTTCAAACATGCTTTCAACAGTAAATTCAATGATGCAGTGTGTATCTTCTCCCTGTGTATTTTTTCTTCCTACAGAATTATGGCCCCAGAATAGCATTATGATTTTTCTTGGCAATGTATAGTTTCAAGTTATTTTAGATTAAATTCAAAGCAAACTAAGCAAGTCTACTTTTGGCTCAACCACCTACTGGCCTAGATTCAGCCAAAAAAAGTGTACCTTATGTAAGCTGAAAAGGAAAATTACTCAGGAAATAAAGCACACACATCACTATAGCTAACACATACAGCACTATATTTAAGGCATGCACATCACCTAAAATTGTACAATGTAGGAAACATAAAATTCATTCCACTCTAAGAGCTATCACAATGACTTACCAGCAAATGTGAAACACTCAAAAAGCATGTTACACCAGACATACAACTCTAGATTGAACTCTCACAACATTATTAGTTTCCCTTAAAAGTAAACTTAAATTCGTATTTTTAAGATTTTGTATTTTTAAGATCTCACTAACAAAAATTACCTTCTTAGGAAAGCATTCTACTCTAAGTCATGTTAGCCTGTTGTGCTCTCATAAAAATGAAAATTAAAACCAACTTTCTGATTCCAGTTCCTTTTTAAGAATAATGTGATGGCACAGCCTCTGACAAAGGATTAGAGCCTAAGGAAATAATCCTTTTAGGATATTAAAATAAAACTAAGGATCAAAGGACAAAAGTAACAAGTAAATCCTTCTGTAGTGTTTGATAAAAATAAGCAAACTTTACAAATATTATTCACGGTGTATGCAATGCATTCTTTATGAAGACTTACACAGTAATGGAATCAGAATTCTGCATTTAACACAAGGCATTGCTGGTGTCTCCTATGAACCAACTACTGCTTTTCTCTCTTGGACCTGCCTACAGTGATGTATCCCCAAACAAAAAGATTTCTCTTTTCATGGCTGCACTGCTCTGGCAGTCAGCAACAATTTTACAGGGATATAATACATTCAAGCCTTTTTGTATCTCTCTCTCTTCACATTTATAAGCTCCTATCTTCTATACAGACATGCTTATTTTTCATCCTTTTAACTTTATGTTATTACACTTTATCCCATACTACCACTCCAGTATCCCAAGTGAAAAATTCTTGTACAATTTTCTGACCCCATCAGAACCTTCCTCTATTTTGTGACCTATATTTCATTACAAACTGTTATATTTTTGTGACATTGTCACTACTGAAAACAGCCAAGATGAGTAGCACATGTAATCCACTGCACTAATAGGGTCTCTCCTCCAGGCTGATACTCTTCCCTGCAGCACAAGTCCCTGTCACTTCACCCCTTCAGCTACTTCCTTTTCCAGTAAATGATTCTATTTTTCATCCACAATTTCTCTCACTCAATATAGAACTTTCTATGTGCCAAGAAATGCTGAAGGGGATACAGACACATTATCTCCCCAACTATGTTTCATTAGGAAATTGACCTCATTGAAACAGTTAGTGAGTAAACCCAGAATAATACAGATCAAAAAATCTTTGATAACAAATCTATGTTGCATTTATCTAATTTCCCATTTTTACCTACCTCTATTTTGTTAACCATCATTTCTTTGAAATTTGTCCCCAAGCTTTGCACACTGCTCTGATCAAGCCAGGCCTGGTAATTATTTCTAATTTTAGCATTCAAATATATCAATCCCAAGAGACCGTTTCCCATTTAATTGCCAACATTTTGGAATCGTGACTGGAAACAATTTGGAAAGCATTTCATTCATCTATAACTTTTTAATTACCTTTATTAACATACAAATTATATCTATTGTCTTCTTCAACCAGAGAACTCTGAGCAATTTGGGTGATATTCTCTTCATACAGTCCCTTATAACTGCACATGAGTAAATACAGTCTGTAGATTATTCTCAAATTAAACATTTGGGAAGGAAGAGATGGTACTGAGGGACTTCCTTAACTGTGTGAAAGCTACAGGCTCACACATTTGGTTAGAAAACAAAACCTTAACCAACCAGAACAAGTTTTGGAGAAAGACACAGTATGATTTATCCCTCCTGAAATTACACTGAAGGGGTTCTGTCACTGAGTGTAGAAGGTTGATGATTTTTCAGACTTACAGAGATTATGAAGCAGGTAAATTGCTAGGACATGAGGAATTAAAGCCTTGAATCTAAAAACAAGATCAACTTGAGAAGACTCATCTGAACATTCATTTGGAAGCTCTAGCAGAATAAATATTGTAATACAAACAAAGCATTCAAAGCAGGGGAATGTAGGGGAAGATTCTGGTATTATTTTGGAGCTTACAGCATCTATTTGATGTAAAATGCTCAGCTGAGCAGCATAGAAACTATTTTCAATTTAATTGCATAGCATTTTATACCTGAAAACAACTTTGCAAAAATTTGAAATTAAAAGACCTTCAGAATGGAAGGCAGATGAATAAATAGACAAATATTCAAAATGACCACTTAGTAATCTTGTGCCAAATTTATTTTTGTTTTAGGAAGTCAATATTTACTGATGCAACCAAAATAAATCAACAGGATGAGCACAGGTAGAATACAAACTGAGAGATGATCAACAGCTCAAGAGTTGCAGAATTTGCAACCAGAGTAGCATCAATAAATTCCCCAAAATGACTGATGATCAGTGAAAACATGACAGAAATCACCAAACCATGGTGGCTACTGCTTTTTTCAAGTCCTCATGGTTGTGCGTAGCAGAAATCTGAAGCTGAGAGAATAATAAGTGCAATTTCCCTCACAAGTCTCAGTTCAATTATGTAGGAAAGTACTTAAAGAATGTATGCAATTATTTCCTATAAGCCTCCTCCTCCTCCATCAGTGATCCCTAACTACCACAAACACCTGAGCTGTTATCAAGAATAATAAGCTCTGAAGCACTGAACAAGGTCTCAGTTCTTTCAACCCAAAATAATTTCTAATATTACTTTCCATTTTACTATATTCCTTTACATCATCTTCTTGCTGTTCAAAATGGTACAAATTACCCAGATAATTTCTGGAATTTTATCCTCTGCAAGTCTAAATATCCACCATTTAAAAAAAAAAACAAAAACGAAACAAAAATGAAGCCAAAACCAATTTAAAAAAAAAAAAAAAAAACACAAAACCAAAACCCACATACGTAGGAAGTTTCACATCAATCAATCAATCAGATATTAATGAAAACAATTCTTCAAAAAAAAAAAAAATGCAAACATTTGAGGCAAAATTTTTGAAGAAGTAGAAAGTAGAAAATATTGATTCAAAATATCCAGAAAAATGAAACTGCAAGACAATTGCTAGTTATTTACTTTTCATGATCAAAAAACCACTTCATTATTAAAAGTTCCCATGATAGCTTATCTTATACAGCATGCTACACTGGATTAAATTCCTTGTATTTAGAACATCACACTGGTGAAAGTGCAGCAAAAAACATCAGTGGATCTCCATCCCTGGAGGCTGGGCAAACACCCAAGCAATGCACTCCAATCAAACCTACTTTGATCATTGGTTTTGGACTAGAAGATCCCCAGAGAAACTTTCTAAAGCCAGCTATGATGTGATTCCATGAAATAAAAGAACTTTTACAGCTTTTGCTATGTAAAATATATTCTAAAAGGTATAACATGCAAACATACAGTGTATTTTGTTGGTCACATAAACAGCAGTACATTTGAAAAAATCCTAATTTAGTGACACATGTGAAGAATGGCTTACCCTCTCCGTGACAGCAGGAAGCAAACACAACTGCATCATGGAGGTTGGAGGTTAACATGTAATCCCACTATTCCAGCACTCAGTGAAATTAGTACCTGAAAGAAAAAAATAAAGTCCCTTTAATTTCACATTCTGTAAGAACAACTTCCTTTTGATTTACTCTTTATCATAACTGTGAGAAAGAATCTAATGTTTTCTTTTAAAATAGCACATTTTCTACTTGTTATTTAGCTAATCATGGATTATCCATGAAGATCAATCTCTCAATCAGAATATTCTGACTACCATCTTTCATTATATCTAGATCAGATACAATGTGATCTAGCAACCAAAGAATTAAATCAAAGAATGTTTTAGGCTCTGTATTGATTTAATGAGTAAATTTTACAAGTCAGTCTCACCAGGCTCCATTTTCCCTTGTTAATATTTGCCAACTTCAAAATTATGTTTGAAGTTGATTCATTAATATTTACAGATACCATCAAATTTGCAGTTGAAAGATGTTATACATGTTGAATGAAAGATATAAATCTGCATAATCAATTAAAGCAGTTCAGCCATTTAGCAGTTTTGTCAAATAATTGTTTCCCCATCTCTAAGCGTTACTCCCTGTTCAAAATACCAGGCAAAGCTTTGAAATGGAAAAAAATTAAAAATAAAATCCAAGATAGAATATTTCACCTTAAATTTAATAAAATTGATAGAAGAGTATTCGTATATTCTTTCACATCTTTTATCATGTATGTATTTTTATCGTTTATAAAAATTATGAATATGTTAAGGAAACCTTGGAAAGAATTTTCTTTCACTCAAAATTGTAAAAGTCACTAGAATAATACTGGAGAAATCACAGATTTGGAGAAAACAAAATACAAATCAGTTGAACAGGTCTTTAAAAGTATTCCATAGGAAAAGAATACAACTTCCAAAATTTCAAGGAAATTCCTGGTATCTTCCAAAGGAACATAAGCTTTCTTCATGTACTTCAAGGCTTAAAGGCACTGAATTCACTGTGAGCAAGTAGAAACAACAGTACACTCACAATGACGATGTGGGCAGAGAAATCCTTGGAAAAATGTTTTTCCCTTTCCTTCTTTTGTCCTTATTCACTGAGTTTGCAATACTTAAAGTGTTAATTATCCTAACCATTTTTATAATAAAACTTGGCACTTTTTCAATTAAGAAAAATTTGGTTTCCTTTGAGGAGCTAATTACACGGAGAATGGCTAAGGTGAACCACATAAAAATGATGGCCAACTCAGGATCCTATGCCCCTCTAGTTACTAAATTTATTTCTACTGGAATGAAAAAACCCCAAAGCACCCACACACACAATAACAAAAACCACAACGGAGTTAAATACTGGTCCTACTTCAACTACATAGCTTCTGGTCAGAGATAAAAAACAATCAAAACACCAATTTAGGTACTTGTAGTATCAAATTTATGCTGCATGAAAACCTAAAGGTTCAGTTACCACAACAGCAGTGGCTCAGAGAAGTCCATATCCACAACACTTGGGGGCTTTTAAGCTAAAGCTATACATAGAACATTGACCTTGAAAGTGTTCATCAGGAGTTAAAAATCTAATCAGAAGTAATTACTTTTCTAAACTAGACAAAAGAATCAACAGTACATCAACAGTAACAAAGTTTGAAAATAAAAAGCACTCCATATTAGATACAGTAAAAACTCTTAAGTGCTCATAATTCTTGCAACATATTACATTTGAAAGCTTAAAAAAAGATACAGTAATTTCTCCTTTTCTTTTTAATTGGTGTTATTTTCAACAAAAGAGGGAATTGTAGCTTGAAAGAAAAAGAGCAGCATACTTGTCAAATATATACAAGATTTTCTGTCAAACAGACAAAAACTTTTTGGTGATACTTCTTTTAGAAAGATAAAAGAGTCAATTGCAGAAACAATGCACTCCTCCAAGGAAATTATATATATGGACTCATTTTAATAAGCAATGGATAAAGCAGCCTTCACTTCTACATTCTTTTTTAACTACTAAGATAATACATTAACCAGAAACACAGTTACCTTCATTTAATCTGAATTAATGAAATGCCTTTGTAAAATAAAAATTACCTCAGAAAATGAACAGAACAATCACATGATAGTAAAGGTTTATTTTTTTCTTGTTTACTTACTGTATTGACTCCATACAACCCTGGTCTAATATAAACACAGTCAATGAATAATAAAAATTCAAATCTCTAGCATCAAGCATGATCTTCCTCCAAAGTAGCAAATTAATAATCTACTGATAATCCTTGCAGAAGCCTCATTCCAAAAAAAACAGGATGAGAATCTTTGGAAGCAATGAAATAAAAGAACAGACTATGGAAGTTAGAAGGACATAACTTATGTGTTATAAAAAGAAAGAATTTGTGACACTGAATTGTTTCTTACACTCGTAAATAAATACATAACAAAATCTGGGGATTAGGAGTTCCACCTGGATAAATTTGGCTCTGAGGTAGGAGAAAGTAGTTCCTAAACATGTAAGTGCAAAACAGATACAGGAAACAGCCACTGAAACAGATGATTTCATTAAGTAACAGATTCCCAATTGCTCATTCCCTTTTAATTGAAGCACCAAAAATGCTCTCAAAAATATACAGTAGTTGAATCAAGAAGCTGAGCAGAATAGGTTTTCTGCCCTATTAGTCATTTGAGAGTTAACAAACAGAAATGGTGCATCCCTTTCTTAACAGAACGTTTGCCTCCTGTTTCAGTACTCATCTGGAACCAAAGTGCATCTGCCTCTTTTTGGGGAAAGTGCAGCTCCCTATCAGTAGAATAATCTGGATACCTTGGGAAAGGAACAGAGAGGGAGGGAAAAAAAAACAATGGACAACCTTAAGGTAATATTTGAATTTTCCATTCTTGTTCCTGCTGAAGCACCCCACTAAACTTTCTTTTCTTTTCCACTTGCTTCCCCGTGCCATTCCTTAATGGCTGCAAACATCAGAAGCAAGATCAGAGGTAAGATCTTTTCTCTTTTGGCTGGCATCAAAGCAACATGCAAAAATCTAATAACCAGGAAACTTAACATCAGTCTGTTCACAACTCAGCTGGATGTTTATAAATCAAGATGAAAAACAGGCAGATGAGAGAGCTGCTGAGTTTGTAATAGTTATGCAAAAATGCATGACACTTGGCAGCCATAAGAAAACTGAAGTGATATTTGCAACCAGGAGGTTTTGCAAAATCAAAGCATAGTGAAGGCTATACGGTATTGAGATGCTGGAGGGAGAAAAAAAAAAAAGTAACAGAACTGAGCTAAAATTACTTTCTTCTTATATATGGCAGGCTTGGAGACTGGGTGATTTGACTGAAATGCCAGAATACAGTTTTGAGTGGGCCATATAAGGGAAAGAATGTCAAAAAGGATCATTAATTAAATAATCAGACTTGCTTTGTATCACAATTTCCTAGTTAAAATTGAACCATGTTTTATGCAGTACTTTTATTAGACAAATTTTACTGGGGATTGCAAATAGTAATATTGCCATATGATGAAGAAGTATCTTCCTTAACTTTAATTCAACTGTGCCAAAATACGTGAATCTTAGCCTGTTAAAATTTCCCATGGCACTCCGGTTTTGTTTTACTTGGGATACAGAATTTTACACTCTAAAAAGCACCAAAAAAGGCACCTAATAAGCTCACTCAAGCATGGGAAACAATTTACTTGCATTAGCATATAGGTTCATGCTGTCTAATTTACACTGCTTTACAGCTTTTGTAGAGCTCCATGCCACCAGAAGCTGATTGCTTTCTGCATGTGATCCTCACCATCACCATGGCTCAAGTGCACCACGAAGTTCTAAGATGCCTTCATTTAAAAGTGAAAGAACTGGAAAACTCAAAGCACTTTGTACAATAGTAAAGCTATGAATAAAACAGCTGTGAAGTTGCAAGTCAAAACCTCACATAATGCTGCCAATGCCTTTTCCTCTCAAAATCCGTGTGACACTTTGTTAAGGAAAAATGACAGGTGAGTTTAAAACTCGCTGAGTTTAAAACACCTTTGAAAGTATTAGCTTCTTGTTTAGCTCCTTTTATGTCCTTTTAAACTTAATACTTTAAGTTTACACTGTTAATCAGAATTCCCATTTTTATTTATAATAACTATCACTAATAAATTTGATGTCAAACCATGGTGACTGTTAGAAACTATCAGCTTTAATGAGTGAGCTATTTTATTTTATATGTAAGATGGGATTTTTGTGTCTGTGTGACAGATATATCTAACTTTTTCTACAGCAATTAAAGCAAGTTTGATGGTTTTTATCAAGGAATACTTTATTTTATAAGCTAATCATTCTAAAAATAAGATTTTAAATTCATTTTCCATATAAAGTCTGTAATTTTTAAAGCAATATTAATACTTTACAGTAACAAATGACTTAAAAGCTAAATTTCCATATGTTCTCAAAGGTAATTCTAGTGAAATCCCATTCAAGTATTTCAGACTGATAATAAGTAACAAAATGCAGGATTTTAAATCACCATTTGAATCCATTTGGAAGTCACTCCAGGACAAGCACTTGTAGGAAAAACCTAAAACCGTGTTATTCTTACTGTTTCCTAAGCGAACCTACACAGCCACACAGCTATTTACTTCATAGAATAATTGCATATAAACTCATTATTTGTGAGAAAAGCAGTATTTTCCTTTGTGGTGAACACATTATAAGAAAGATGTGATTATCATAGCCAGCAGCTCCTATGTTTCGCTGTTCTCCAGTAGTATCTCACAATTCCTTAACTTGCAAGTTAGGCTTTTGCCACCTACTCTTTTATAACAGATATTATGTTCTTGTTCCTACTTTCAGTGTAGGTTTTTTGTAGCCCTTCAGCTTCCTTCACTCCTGAATAGCTCAGGCTAATTTTAGCAACAATGACAAGAAAAAAGGAAAGGATGCCCATTATTCCCCATACTGGAATTTAAAAGAGCTCTCCATGGTTCTGAGCTACCTGCCAGAGTAACATACACTCCACAAACTCTTTTTTACTCAAGGGTCTGGTTAAGGCCCAAACACAGATACTAGGCTTTTGGTTTATACATCTTTGCATTCTT